CGCTGTTTCCCCTAGCGCCCGCTGGCATAACAAGGAGTAATGGGCACAAGCTGATGGAGAGGAGGTATAGATTGGACATCCGCAAAAACTACTTCACGGTTAGGGCGGCTAGGAGCTGGAACCAACTTCCAAGGGAAGTGGTGCTGGCCCCTACCCTGGGGGTCTTTAAGAAGAGGCTGGATGCCTACCTGGCTGGACTCGTTTGAATCCCGTTTCTCTTTTTGGGGTTTTTTGTTGTTCTCCCGCCCTGGCGGGGGGTCGGGCTAGAAGATCTACTAGGTCCCTTCTGACCCTTAATCTATGAATCTATGAATCTATGAAATTTATTGCTACAATTTTTATAATCATTATAGAACCTAGACCTGGTGCAACATTTTGCACAATTCTAAGCATAGACCTGAAATCAAGTTAGCAACCAGGTCAAGACAGCGCTAGTAAGTTCTAATACACGGTGATCCCATTTTCTGTATGCTTTTAAGCATAGATAATTTACAGGTTTTTTTGCAAAAATCTCACAGCACTATATAACGACTAAAGACTTCTGTTTCTACAATGAATATTAGCTCATCTTATTCCCCCAGAGGGTGCCTATTTATGTAGTACATTTTACAGTTACCCAACTGGTAATGAAATCAAGTTAACATTCTTTCCAAAGCTTCAAAGAAAAGCTGTCTTAATTTGTATACCAACAAATGCTCTTCAGCAGTAGAATTCAGTTGAAGGTATAAAAGAAGAAACACAAGCTTCAGTCTATCCATTCCCTCTGTTGTTAGTCAAAGAGAGTGAAGAGAAAGAAACAGAGAGAGGCAGAAGAGTGTGTTACAGCAAAGCTGCAACAACTGGGAGGACCATTACCTTTAACTATTTACCTTTAATTAATGAAACCTTTAAACCATATATGCCAAGAAACATTTATATAGTACTTGAGATCACCCTTTAAATATTACTTAAGGGTGTCTTGAAAGTGTTTCAACACCTTAAGCAAGCATTCAATGACAAGAAATGTAGCTATTTTAAAATATGACAAAGCAAATACAATTTTACTTTTGGATATCACACATCTAAGTTTTTCTATTCTTAAAAAACAACAACAACAACCCCCACTACTACCAGCTTTCTGACAATACAGCAACTTAATAGATAAAAGTAACTTAAATGCAGAGAGTTAGTGGAATGCACTTAAGAATGAAAGTCCCACCATCCACCCAAACATTTTGGGCGCTGCCTCGGATGCAGACAGCAAGTGCGACACATCGGGGTCACAGGCAAGTCCCATGTATGTTCTTGAGTGGCACGTGTCACACTTGCCCCCACCCCCCAAAATGCAGTGCTCTCCCCCTGCCCTGGCAGATCTCCTCTGACGGCTCCTCACCGTTTGGGTGGACGAGGCAGGGGGAGGCTTGCTAAGCACTAAGGAGAAACCAGCCCCGTCAAAGGGAAGCCGGTTTTGTTCTGCACCTGCCGCACTTTATCCTGGGCAGACAGACAAATCCGGCCAGATCCGTCTTAAAGTGGGGGCGAGGGAGGGAGCAGCTCTGCACTTACCGGGATCTCACGGCCCCGGGGCAATGCCCGGGCTCACCCAGGGGCGCGCGTGAACCTGCCTGCCCCGTCCGGGGGAGCTGGGGCGGGAGGGCGCGGAGCAGGCGGTGACTCAGCCCCGGCTCCAAGCGACACTCCGGCGTCTCCTCGAGCGGGGGGGGGGGGGCCCCC